GATCCCCATTGTTGTGGCGAGAGCAGGCACTGGGGAACCTGGACATCTTCCCTGGCAGGGAGGTGGGGGCTGGTCTGGATACTGTGCAGTGAGGGAGCTGCCCCCCAGATATTTGAGTAGAACAAAGATCACATAAGTAAGTCGTGAGAAGCCCCTGTTGTTGCCACAATGACTTTACTGGCTATCTGAACTTTAAATAATTAGGAGTTTGCTGAATGGTTATTTCTAAACTCTAATTCTATGTATCATATTAATTAAGGTAGACCATATCTTGTGTCACTGCTGTTAAAATGTGGCCAGAAGACTGGCATCTGCCTGTAGACTTTTTGTGAACCTGAAATTGAGAGTAAGTGTTTAGGAACTTGTAGCAATTGACAGAGTACTTTTATAAAGATTAAGTCTACTACTAATAGATGAGGGCTGGTATATTGTTCATTTCATTTTTCTAGTAATTCCTTTTATTGTTATTACATTTTACAAAAATATTAGTTTAGATAGATTAGAAATTTTTAAAAACTGGTCCTTTTGAGAAGCATGGCTGCCATGGGAAGAGCGGGCTGCAGCTCATACAGACTTGCTGTGTGACCTTTGGCGAATGATGTAATCTCTAGGTTTACATTTAATAAATTGAGACTTTCTAGCAGGCCTGATAGTTAGTCTTACAAAGCTAAGTCAGGGATGCAAAAAAATGTCAAAATTTTAATTTTCTTTATGAGCAAGATGGTGGGAAATTCGGTCTCAGTTATTATTGCCCACCCCACGTCCCCTAGCTCCTGTCTCCGTGGGGCTCAGAAAATGAGGGTGCAATACTGTCAACAGCCTCATTGCCTAAGCCCACAGCAGAGGCTTGGTGGATGAGGGAGTCCTTGCTGAGGTTGGAGCTCCTGATCCCCAGCCCTCCTTGTGCCTGCATCTCCATCCCTTGATGCCTTGCTCCCTTGGGGTGGTCCAACCTGGCTCTCTTTACCCCTCTGAATTACCACTAGAGAAAATCTTTCCTCAGAGATAACTTTAATATCTTCAGTGAGCTCAGGCTATGGAAAACTAAGGCTAGAAAAGAGAGTATTTTCAGGCTACTTTTTTTTTTTTTTTTTGATTTGGCCCCAGTACAAATTTCTGAGGCATGGAAGCACAAACGGCCTGGAGAAATTTGGGGGGAAGAGGCACAGGGGAGGGAAAGCTGAAGAAAAAACACAAATTAATATCAATTTTATCATTGTAAAGTGGGGCCAATAAACCCTTACTGATAGGGTTGTCTGAGGATTGAGTAAGCTAATGCACTGAGAATTCATAGCCAAGTGTCCAGCACACACTAGGTCCATAGTACTATGATTTCCAGATCAGGAGGTCCCTGGCTCTCACTTGTTTTTGCCTGTTGGCTCTTATGTGTTGCACACACAGTGTGTGTTTGGATGATTTCATCCAGCTGTGGTTTTTCTTCCTTTCTTTCCTTTGATGATACAGGCTCTAAGCCAAGGGTACTTCATCTGGCATCCATGGAAGCCAGGCTCCACTTCCACGGATGGGCTTCAGAGGGTCTCTGATAGTCTGGAAGTTTTATATGTTATTTCTATTTACTGTTTACTCTGAAATTTTTAACAAACAAATGTTTTTTTCCTAGCAAAAATCTCATCAGATATACTCATCTGTCCTTCTTAGCAGATTCAAATGTAGTAGCTGTGGGGTGAGGACTAAGATTCTGCATTTCTCACAAGCTCCCTGGTGATACCCAGTGCTGTGGGTCCAATGATCTCACTTAAAATAGCAAGGCCAAAGTGGCCTTCTGACTTTAAGGATGTGCCTTTCATTGCCTATTAACTTCACCAAACTTGCCGTTTTCTTTTTTTCCAACATATCTGGTCATCAGAAGCAGCCGCCCTATTCGGGAATGTTTATAATTATAAACATTTCCACTCCACAGCTATTCAATCTGCCAGTCTTGACCTCTACATGCACTTCATTCCAGTTAGCCATGGATAAAAGCTTACATAATTACATAACAGGGTTTTGCCCATCATGTTTGCTCCCACTCATGGAGCCCCCATTTCTTACACATAGGTGGGCAATCTAACCTCAAAATTCTGTGTTGAAGGCCTGCTTTTTAGAACTATTTCCAGTGTCAATAATTTTTGCAGTAAAGCAGAGCCTGAGGCAAGGATTAATATGATGGTTTATTTGACAAACTCAGGGAAGGGAAGATGAGGAAAAAGGTAAGGGAGTCAAGGAAATATGTGATATAATATAAAATGGTTCATCCTTGGTTCTTCTCTCAAAGAGCCATGAAGAGACCCAGCAGATACATCTACCCAGCACACAGCACTTTCCTGGAGGTTGGCAAAAAGAAAATAATAATTCAGAGTCCACCTGGGGAGAGGCAGGAGGGGAATTCTCTGCCCAGCTTTTTCCCTTCTCCCATTTTCCATTGGTCAGGATGCCAGATCCAAACTGGGAGGTAGGAAACTCTAGGCATGTGGTTGGTCAGTCTGGCTGCATGGAGGCATCCGAAAAAGGGCGGGGGGTGGGGGGGTGGGATTCCCAGGGCAAATGACTGGTCAGCCCTGCAGTGGGATTTGAGAGATTTTTTTTATCTCTTTGTACTAAGGACAAGGAAAAAAAATTTTGTGCCAAGAAGAAAAGAGGAAATTACATAAGTTGTTCATAGTCTCTAATGACTGACTTGTCCTTTTATGTCCATGTGGTTAAAGAACTAGGAAGTACTTTTAAGTCTTTATCCTTTGTCTTGCCTCAATATGAGTCAGCTGGAATAAAAAAGGTGGACTCTACTTAATCAGTGGAGATCTGCCTCTCTCCACAAATGTGTGGCAGACACCACTAACTGATCACTGCAGTCTTCCCATTTGTTGGCTGGGTATACTTCTTCCCCACTCCTGAAGTTTCTTTGTGTGTGAAGATAGCTATAGGAGTACAACATTCCTGGCCTCACCCTGCTTCCTCCCTCCCTCTGCCTCAAGGATGTCTTAAACTGATTTGTGAGTGTGCAATGAGAAACCAAGCCATTCTTGGTCCTTTTTTTTTCTTGAGATCAGGTTCTGTTCTGCAAGGAGCACATCACTTATTTCTGTTCTTCCCTATCATTAGTCTTACAGAAGTACTTCCTCACCCCACATACCCTAGTTTTCATCTCAGTTGGGTGAGGGGCCAGGAGGAGAAGGGTGCTATTTCATGGGCTTTGCCAAGGTCCCAGCACCTCAGTGCCTGCCTTGGCCTCACAATACTCTAAGCAGTGCTCCTGGCCATCACACTCAGTGGATTTCCAGGTGGAATAAAACCTGCTGATACCTGAGTCCTGCAGCCTCAGTACCTCTGGCTAATGCTGCAACTGAGGAGCCATAGAGTAAGTGGTCAGATGACATGCGCTTTAGGTGTTGTCAGGCTTGGGTGGGTGAGTTCGGTTAGGAGCCATGTGACCTTGGCAAGTTGCTGCATCTCATTAGATCTGTCTTATCTGTAAGATGAGAATAATAATATCTATTTCATGGTTTCTAGAAACTAAATGAGATAATATGGTCAGGGTTTCTAGCATTTAGAAAGTACTCAATAATGGTAGTTATTGTTACCATGATACACAGGCTTTGGAAACAGATTAAAAATAAGGGGTGCCTGGGTGGCTCAGTTGTTAAGTGTCTGCCTTCGGCTCAGGTCATGGTCCCAGGGTCCTGGGATCGAGCCCCGCATCGGGCTCCCTGCTCCACAGCTGTTCCCTCTCCCACTCCCCCTGCTTGTGTTCTCCCTCTTGCTGTGTCTCTCTGTCAAATATATAAATAAAATCTTAAAAAAAAAAATAATTAAGCCTGGTCCTCCTTCTGGATGGGGCCCTTGCCGTTTTTAGATATAGCCAGGTAAGTTTCATTGCACTGTTGGAGAATTCTAACATATCCTCTTGGGAAACCTCTGAGGCTACCTCTAATTCTTATTTTATGAATGTGGAGATGCTTTTCTCTCAAGTTTTCCTGGGCATCAATTTCTTTTTTCAGAGTTGATGCAGAGGGATGAATGGTAAGGTGTATTCTCCTTCAGACTTGGGATCTTGCCACTTGCCTTTCATTTGAGTGATGTGGTTTACAAATCAGTGCTGCGATACCCTGTCTTTCCTCATAAACCCCTTCATGCATACAGCCAAACTTGAGTACAGAGACTTTGGACTCAGTGTGTGAGAAGCCTCAGAGAAGGAAAAGAAAAAAAAAAAAAATCACACTACATTAAGAAGAAGAATGGCTTTGGAAAAAAAATATGTATAGTGTACAGCATGTCAGTACATTTTCAGGAAATGGTAGCAAATTAGTCAAATCAAGTTACAGATACAGTCAAGAAGTTATCACGAGTCTCCCCTACAAGATTTTGGTGAATAAAATCAAATGACTTATACCCAATATTTTAAAAGTGCAGTGGTGCTGGCTTATCCTCAAGTCACTGTGGGAACTGACTGGGAATTGAAAGCTTCCACAATGCAGCATGTGGCTTTGCTGTTGAATTATGAAGCGTTTGTGTCTGTACTGTGAGGTGCTGGACGCAAGGATAGAATCAAAGTGCAGAGATACACCACCACAGGCATCGTCTCGGGATGCAGGCAGCCTTCCTCTTGGCTCAAGAAAGGTTTCATTCCCGTGTGGTCAGTGTGCTTTTGTTTTTATAGTTTCTGATGCTCTGATATTAGAGAGAATTCCTGCTGGGGTACCCTTATATTACAGATACCACATACGCTATAGGTTTTGTCCTTTCTGACTTCAAAAAGAATAAAGACAACACCATTGCTGCTATTGCTAAGTGATCTTGGTATAATATGTCTTTGGGGCAATAACTCATTCCCAGTATTTTCACCGAAGAGAGACATTTAAAATTATTCTTTTTGGTCTGCTCCTGAAGATTGTTGTCACATCGTTTGTTACCTTTATGATTGGTATGTTCTTAAGCTGTGGTTGCTGTGTGGAGAGGCAGATTTTCCTACACACTGCTTAAAATATTGTATTTTTTCCAACTAGGTGGCTGTACTACCATCCCAGAATCAGACTTAGAGGAAAGATCAATAGAACAAGACTCCGCTGAACTGTTTACCAACCACAAACACCTCATTGTAGAGACACCCATGCCTGGTAAGAAAATGGGTGGCCTTCACCAATGATACGTCAGGGATAGTGACACTCTGGCCAGTTCTCGTCATACCAGAGAGCCTTTTCACAAAGCTGCTTGTTTTCCAACTTCTTCATCCTTCCCCTCAGCATTGGTGCAGTTGAATTTGATTATTTGTATATTCCTTTCAATATTGAAACCTTTTTTCTCTCTCTCTCACTCTCTTTTTTCTAGAAGTTTCACCCCTCCAAGGAGTCTCGGAATAGTTCAAGTAGAGTTGTCTGGATGAGGGGAAGATGGCCTTCCCAAGGCTGATCCTGTGTGGACCTCATGCCAAGCACAGATGTAGGGCTGGTCCAGGTGCTTCATCCATCTCACCTGCTTGGAGATGATACTATATAGACATGGGGATTGGGATTTTTTTATTTTGCTAGGAGGACTTGTAATACCATGGGCAGGTCAGTTGAAACTTGTCTTACTGGGAAAAGCTATTGCCGCTTTTGGTCATCTGTATGCTTATAGCCATCGGATATAGTGAGAGGACATCTTTTGGGGACAGACTTTATAACGCAGAGACCTAGGTCCAAAGTAATTTGATACCCCATTTTTTTCACAGAATTCTTATATAGTAAGTGTATCAAATTTAATAAAGCATCTCGTTGTCCAATAAAATCTTGGATTTGATTTATAATTAGAGGGTTTTATAGTTGGTCTCTACATTTTTTCTTCAAAGGAAAAGAACTGAAAGGAATTGAAAACTTTGCTACTCCATGGTAACACTCAAATATAATTGTTTTATAAATAAACTACAGAATTTTCATATGATCTATTTACTCTGTTCTAAAAAATGGAAGAAGGTAAGTTTTTAGTATTGAACAAAAATGTTAAAATATTTTTAGGGAAGGTAGTATATTAACATCCTCTTTAGATTACCCCATGGTGACACCTTTTAAAAATTCAGGTTGTAAAAGAATTCACACATTAGAATTAAAATGTAAGGTTTTTTATATTCAAGAAATAAAGGAGATTTTGCCAATTTCAAGTTAAAATTACAGTTTCAAGACTGATTTAAATAAATTAAAAATAAGTCTGTGCCAGTTTGGGAATGCCTGTCAGTCAGTATAAAGGGGGATATGGTTCGTGGTTTTTCTATATGTGAAATGTCAAAAAACTGCAGAGGATTTATTATTTCTAGCATTCTTTTTTAGGAGATGCAGCAGAAGATGTAATATTTTTAATTGTCAAGCATGGAAGTGGACAACTTCTAGCCTTTGGACCAGAATCAACCATTAGGTTAATTTCACCCAGCCATTGGGGACCAGTAAAAGATGTCATGGCTCCGCAAATGACTATAGTTGCAAAAAATGCCACACTTCTGATCATCTTTAACAACTTCATTCAAGAAAGGTTACAAAACAAGTATATTACTTCTTAAAAAGGTGTTTCCGTGTTATGTCTCTCTCTCTCTCTTCCTTTTTTTTTTTTTCTTTTGGATGTTTGGTTCCTGTGGTTGTTTTTTGTGCTGTGCATATGTCCATGTGCTAATTTCTGTTCTCCTTTCTCTCTTTTTTTTCTTTCTTGAGTCATGCCCTGTTTGTATATGTCCTTCTAACTGTCTTTCTTTAACTCTTTTTCTCTCTTGTGTTTCTATGTTCATCTGCCTTATCAGTTTTTCTCTTCCTTCACTTATTCCCCCCTCAATTCTTTCCCTTTATTTCCTATGATATAAAACCCAAGTATATTGTTTGATTTGTAATGGTTACTTTAAGCATAGACGAGTGCGGTGATTTCTCTCTCTTTCAAATCCCTTCTCCATTGATTTCCTTTTATTTGTGTCCTCCATGATTGCTCAATTCTGTGAGAGAGTGACTACCAGTGTAAACTCAAAAGGCTTCCTACCTTCAGTTTGGGAATTTAAGATGACTTTTGTTGCTACAATTACATGTCATACTGAGAGTTTTTATGTTAAGATGTATATTTGTAAATGTTTTCCTGGAAATCATTATCAGTATCTTAAGTCTATTGGCACAACTACTTGACCAAATAATTTTTTTTATTTGAATCACTAGTACAGAATTCTGTATACATACATCATACACATATTTTTAAAAAATATAATTGTATTTGCATTTTACTAGCTGCCAAAAGGAAAGAAGGTACTAATTAGCCTTTTTCAACATTATCAAATATAAAATATAAGTTCTAAAATGATAAAATAATTTGATTCATGATTTAAAAATATCATTTGATAAAAAAATTTCCTGAATTTATGTAATGTCTTTTACCCTTGATTTTAATATGATTTAAAAACATATGTAAAGTGTTTCTACTAGCAGCCAAGAATTACGTTATCCTTTGAAGTGACTTTTTAAAGATCAAGACCCAAATAATTGTTTTTTTTTTTTTTTTTTTTTAAAGATTTTATTTATTTATTTTAGAGACAGAGCACAAGAGGGGGGAGCGGGAGAAGCAGACTCCCTGCTGAGCAGGGAGCCCGATGCGGGACTCAATCCTGGGACTCCAGGATCATGACCTGAGCCGAAGGCAGACGCTCAACCAACTGAGCCACACAGGCACCCCAGGACCCAAATAATTGTTAACTGTTCTCATTATTTTGGCACTAGTATTTCAGTCTTCAATAACAATTGTCCATTATCTCTTTCGTGTATGTGTGTATGTGTGTGCATACATGGTCTTGAAATCTTAGAGTAACTCAGAAAGCTTTAAGAAGTAAGATGATCCAGGTTTCCGATTAGCCAGATAGTCTCATTATTACCAAATATATCAGAATAGGTACTAATAAAACAGCAAATATTTAGTAAATTCTTACTGTGTGCTAGGTACTGTATATACACGATTTCATTCACTCCTTACAACATTACTTAGATGTAGATAATGTTATCTCTATTTTGCAAGTAGGAGTACTGAGGCCAAATAACTTACTCAGTGTCCCATAGTTCGTGTGTAGCAGAACTGGGATTTTAATCCAGGCTGATTCCAAAAACCATATACACACCCAAAATGTAGAGATTATTGGTAAGACTACAATAAAATACATTTTAAACCTGAAGGTTTTTAGTCCAGGATAGCTACATTTTTAAAATTTTTTAGTATGGTTATTTAAAAAATATACCTATTTATATTTCTCCTTTAGTGAATTACCTGTTCATGTTCTAAATTTTGGGGGGAGGTTGGTGATGGTGGTAATAATCTCCTTACTGAATTTTAATAGCCTTTTGAAAAATCGTATTAGTCTTTGGTTGATCTGGTGTGATATCGACACTGTTTTCAGTTTTTCACTTGTCTTCTAATTTTGTTTCTCGGTTTGTTTTTAAGGTCGGTTTCTAAAATTTAAGTAGCCAAATCTATTAGCCCCTTTCTTTGTGGTTGCTGCCGTTGGTGTCCAGCCTGGGTAGTCTGATACCCTCTCCTGCCTCTTTTCTGTGCCAGTTTGAGGTCCTGCGCAAGCTGTTGTGTTCTGTGCTGCAGCAAGCTTCAGTCATATGGATTTTATAAGCCACAGAGCTGTGTTCTTTGCTGCTCTCATATCTCACTGAGTTTTACGTGAAATGCCTCCTAGGTTTTACCCAGCTCCTTCACCCTGGGGAAAATGACCCAAGTAATAGACCCCACAGTTCTCAAAATCCTGCTCCCCTCTGATGCTTGGCCCCTCCTGTGGGCTCTCCTTTAGGATGATTAGCTTTCCCCAAAGATTCTCTAGCAGTCTTATAATTAGCCTTGCCCGCTCCCACGCCAGCCGTTCAGACATGGCCAGACATGTTCCCATCCCATGTGAACACAAGTTGGGCTCATGTTGGGTGTGCTGTGCCCACTTAAATCTATATGTACAGAGGCAAGAGATATGGAGTCTGTGCCCCAATCCCCCCATTCTCTAAGCTTTTTGGTTCCCCAGCCTCACAAGGGACTAGCTTGGTGTTTCCATAGGTCAAGTATACCTGGAACCACAGGGGTTCCCTCAAGTTGAGGAACATTAGATTGTGTTATGAATGGCTTTCTTGTAATTACATTAATAAAAAATTATTCTCTGGATTAAAAGTAGCTAAGCAAAGAGACCTCTCTCTTTTTTTTTTAATAGCTGCCTCTGACTAGTCAGTAGTCTGTCACAGTGCACGTGATCCCTATCACATAAAAATGTAGGTGAAGATGGGCAAAAAAATCAAAGTAAAATACATGTGAGGAGTGTTTAAACTCCTTAAAGAGCATTATGTAAATACAGGATTGACAGTGGTCATCTGCCATGGCACCGTGTCCTTCTTGTGAGCCAACCGGTGTTATCCATGGCCTCCTGTTCAGAGATGAAGGGTGTGTCCAAAATGGTCAGAGAGCTGATGGGGGACAGGCTGATGGGAAGAGCCCAAACTGGGGATTTTCAGCCTTGGTTGGACCTTACTATCTCTAATTTTCTTCCCTTTGCTGATCTGTATTTTCAGAGTGTTCTGTAATGAATATGTATTGCTCCTGTAATAAGAGAACAGATCCCATCCTTGTGTATATCGAGAGAGAAAGGTATCACTCAGGATATCAGTGCCAGTGATATACATAATAATCAGTAATATACTCTTGTTACTTAGCTTTTGGTATATTAACAGCGTGAGTTTTAGAGAAACTGCTTGGACATTGTACTCCAAGAATGCTGAAAGGTCCAGAGTAGACGTAGTATCATCAAAATAACATGATTATTATGATCTATAGCCGTAACATGAGCCTAAGATTATATTGAAAATCAGTTTTTTTCTTTATGTCCTTAACATCTTCTGATGCAAAAAGCAAACATATCAATTAAATATGAAAATATTAGCGAGGTTTCTGAAGGAGCAATACACAAGGCTCAATACACAATTTAGATTGCATCAGATGCTGTCCTTTTTATAGCCTTTTTGTTTATGCAGTGTTGAATTAGCTGGTGTCACTCTTCTGTTTTTATGGCTGAATCATGGAAGCTATGTGACATCCCATGTGTTAAGGGTTTTGTTGAGTCGGACTTTAACAGGTGTAACCTACAGTGCAGCACAATTGCCAAGACCTAATCAGAGTAAGATGCCTGTTAGAGTGATCACATCCCCCAGTGCTTCATCTGTGCTCCAGAGAGGGGGTTTCTGTTCTGGCTGATGTGGGAAAAACGTTGCAAAACCCCTCATTTTCAGGTTTGCTGTTGTTTCATTTTAATTATATTCAACCCAGACTCCAACCCTTCCTCCGAGGCTCAGTCTGAATAAATTTATCTCCTCACTTGTAGACTAAGAGCTGCATTTGAGGCCCTCTTGGAACAGTGGGGGTGACTTTGTGGGTCATGCCTTTTAGTCCCGTTTTCTGGCTCCTTATTACATTCTCCTCCTTTTTCTCTATTTATTTTGCTCCACTTTTCACTGTATTCTCTTTTGTTGTATTGACAAGTCCTTTAAGCACCTTAAATCATTTCTGTAACAGGTGGGGGGTGAATAAATCAATATTGGCACCTCTCAAGATTTTTCTAGTCACTGTTGCTGGTGGTCATGTTTCCCTCTTGAAAAGACCTGAACTCCCTGCCTCTCTTAAAACACACTATCCCTCACTTACTCTATTTCAGAAGTCGAATTTTTCTTGCCAGCTGGGATGGATTTGCAAACTTCTTGGACACGACTGTTCTTGGATTCTTTTTACTGATTA